TGTGTTTATATGACATTGCAAGCAAAGGAAAGCTTATTTACACACAATTAAAGAGGTAATAAGGTAAGGTACTAATCTTGATTTATTAGATGAAGTAGTTTCAAGAAGAAGAATATTTATTATGAGAATATAGAGAGAGAAAAAATGAGACTTTTGTAATGTTTAAGGATGGCACTCATGATGTCCTAAAATGTAAAAGAAAAAAAAATATAAAAAAAACAACAACACAATAACAACAAAGTTTGAGGCCCTTGTGAGAAACTTTAAACTTTTTAAATAAAAACAATTAGCAGATCATTTATAAATTTGATTTAATTTTTTTTACTGGTGAAAACAACATATTAACATCAACAAGAAAAGTGTACAGCACATATAAGAGACACCTGAGAGCTTTTAGGTACAAGAATGATAAATTTGAAAACAAATATTGAGTTTAAAACTTTTTAAATCTGAAATAGATTCAATTAGAAATACTTGTTAGGAGCCAGGCAGATATTTACTTGAAAGATAAAATATTTCAGAAATCCAGATAATATATTGTTATTAATATCATACTTAAGCATCAATAAATAAAGGCTTGTAATCAAAATTGGATCTCCTAGTATTATACTTACAAAAATCTCTTAAAAATTGACTTTAAATATTAAAAGAGTGCTATTCTACAGTTTTAGGGCCCACAACAAATGCTGTATCAAATTAACCCATACTTACAAATAGAAAAAAACAATTGTTTATTTTTAGGACCAACTTGTTTTTTCAAAAGTATTGTTTGATGAAATAAAAAGTTTATGAATTGTAGTTTACAAAACTTTTCAATACTTATACTTTGTTACTTTTCAATAGACACATAGAATAACATAACTTAAAACTTTAAAAACTAATAAATTACTTTTTCATCAAAAAAACACAAAATTCGATCCCTTTCAGGCATAGTGACATCAAGTAATATAATTTTTTTTGTCAAAAAATAGCTCTAGTGGTAACTGTTTCACCATATGATAGTGGTTGTTATGACTCTTAAGATGCCTTCACAATGACAATGTTTCATAGTGCCCCACTCTCTCCTACTTTGACTGGTTCATGCTCTTGGAAGCATGAAAACTGAAATAGCCATCTGTCATAAAATGATTCCTTAAGTGTAATTATCTGTTTTAATTGCTCTTCTAAGCAGAACACAGTTTGGTTGTAACTTAGGCCACCAACTGCAATCAATATACCTAACCAAGAGGTTCTAAGCCTTTTGTATAAAATAAGAATTAATACGAAAAACCTTTGGTGTTGATTAGTTTTCTAGTGACCAAACTTTCTTGTGTCAAAATTAAGTTTGAAATTCGTACTTTGCTCGAAGGTTTTTTGTTTAAAATACTTTTAAAACTGCAGAACAAACCTCACACTTTGCATTATCTTCTACTTTTTATTCAGAAAATATTTCCAAACATTTTACTTTCTTTAAGTAGTAATATCTTTAAAGCCAATCATTTTCGAAAATTTTATTTTTATTTATTAAATATAATGATGATATTAATAATTATATGAGAAACAGAAATTCTGTTACACAACAACAATGTTAATAATAAACTATGTTGTAATTTAAATGCATAACAACTAGGGTTTGGTCATTTTTCAAAACCAGTTTTTCAAATAAATTTTAGTCATTTAAAAACTGGTTTTTAAATTAGAAAAACCGGTTTTCTATTTTTTAACAATTTTTTAGTATATTTTTGTTATGCAATGACATTTCATTAAGTAAGTTTCCCTGTGATAGATGGAGATTTCAGTTTCATTTTTTGCAAATGTTTCATAATAATGACGCAATAGATACAGTTGCTTTGTCTAAAAATATAAAACATAAAGTTTTAGGCAAACTAAATCTTCTCGAATAGTTTGGATTTAATATTTACTTATTATTTATAAAATGTATTTAAAGGGATCCCTAAGTGCTATAAAGATATGATCTCATATGAAAGAGCATTAAAAAAAAAAATGTTTGATGTACATTATTTTTTCTAAAACGCAATAATGAACACACACTAACAAATTTAATTTTCAAAAAAACGCTTTTCTTCGATTAAAAAAAGTGCGTCTTGTCCAAAGTTTATTGACTCTATTGCCTCAAAAAACTAACGTTAGTACGTCAAATTAAACAAAGTAGACAAAATGTCATTATTGCAAACTTATTAGTTGGCAATTAAATTTAAAAGAAAAGTCGTTTTTTTTCAACTAACACATAATTACTTACAAGAATAAGTTTTGTAGCATTATGTGAAAATATATTTGTATATTAAAATTTTTTTTATAATATTAATTTATATATTTGTGTTATAAGGGCAATTCCACGGCTAAAAATGAATAGAAGTCAAATTTTAAACTCTTTTTAGTCAGTTAAAAACAAATGAATATTGACTTAAACATATGAAAGTTTATTTAAAATATTTCCTTAGTAAAAAAATAAATTTATTTCAGTAATTTTTTTGGTTTCAAAAGTGACGGTTACTCTCATTTTTGCTTGATACAAAAAATAATGATTGTAAAATGTTTTAGTTGAATTAATGTTAAATTGCTATATTTTTTTGGTTCAAACTGATAAGGTTGAATAGACATTTTATTAGAAATTAATCTAAGACAGGGCTCAAATTAATGCAAAAAAATCTAATCGCGAAAAAAAAATTTTTTTTTTTGCTCTCTCCCCCTCCCCCCTCTCTCTTATAGCTCGCACCGATGTGCGGTAATGGGGGGAAAAAGTTATCGTCAATAAATCAAAAAACATCGTCAAAAACTTAGATACCACGTTTTTTATAATTTATTGTTTCTTGAATAAAGGACTAATAAAAGTTTAAATATAATTAAGTTTTTCATTTAAATGGTTGATGTTTTTATTCAATTTTTCTATTTCAAGTTTTCCAATAAAAGATAAAACAAAAAAATTTGGTTTAATAAATCGAATTATACTTCATGTTTAAAAACGTTAAAGTAAAAAAATTGCTGGTTTTTATTAGCATATTTATACTGTTTGAAAAAAAAAACTAATAAAAAAGAATTAACTAATAATATATTTATTAATAATTATATATTAATTCTTTTTTATTAGTTTTTTTTTTCAAACAGTATAAAAATGCAAATAAAAGTCAGTAATTTTTCTGCTCTAACGTTTTTAAGCCTTATTTTAAACATGAAGTTTTGATAAACAAAGATAAAAACCAACTTTTCAACTTTTCTCTTTAATGACCTTGTAAAAATATTCCACGCAGAGATTTAAAGTAATTTAAATTCAAAAATGTTTTACGTTGAAAGAAAATCTCCGCGCGAAAGAGCAAATCATCTATTCATCTATCTATTCAGAATAATAAATTTTGTGTGACGTTCTTTATGATAAAAACATTACTTTTAAGAATTGCTAAAAAAAATGCTAAGCTAGAAAAAAAGTAATCAATCAACCAAAAAAAAAAAACGAGTCGCAAAAAGATTTTTTTTAAGAGAAAACTAATCACAAAAGTGTGTGTTGCAATTGCGATCGCGATACGCTTAATACGAGCCCTGTAAGACTTTTTTATAAGTTCTAAACGATTTAAAACTATTACTTATAACTTTTTTTTAACGACATCTTTCAACCGAATGCTATTATACTGTTTTTGCAAAACTAATTAAAAAAACTTAACTATTTAATCACGACTTTTTTTTACTTGAAAATCGAAGTAGATATTCTAAAGTTGTTGTGACGTACTAACGTGACTTTTAACGACTAACAATCGAGTTTCAATGGTGAAAAAATAAAATCAAAATGGAGTTGTTTTTTAGTGATTTCGGCAATTGCTTTTTGTTAGCATGCATTTATTATTACAATTTAGTGAAAAAGAAAAAAAACTTACATATTTTTTTTTTATGCTCTTTCATATGAGATCATATGTTAGGAGCACTTAGGGATCCCTTTAAATGTATGAATATATTATGTTAATGTATTTATAAATCTAATAGTTTAATACGTTTATGTACTAAATTAAGAATTAGCAACTCATTTACTGAATTCACAAAATCCTGAAAACATTTACGGCCCAGCAAAAAAATCTAGTATGTTTCTTTTAGCTTCAAAAATTGAAACTATTGAATTGTCTGAAAATTTATTGTCAATTGTTATAAAATTCTATTGTGAACAACAAGATCAAGAGGAAATCGAAGAAGCTAATTTGCTCATCAGAGTAAAGTTTTTCTAAAAAGAATTTTAAAAAATCATGGAAAATTCAATTACAAAGTTTCTTGACTTTGTAATTGAATTTTCCATTAACCCAAAGACACTGAGAGCTGAGTTTTTATTACTTGAGTCAACGCATAAATGAAGCAAAAACTTAGATTTGTTATTTGATGCACTTAAAACTATAAACCCTTTTTAAAATCCTATTTCCTAGGAAAAATTACGATAAAAATATACAAATTAAGTAGTTCTTGTTATTCAATTTTAATAAAGAAAAATTTGAAAAACCGGGTAAAACCAGTTTTTTGGGGAATTTGGAATTTGAAAACCGGTTTTTTAAAAAATCTGTTTTTGTCCAAACCCTATTAACAACATTTACACACTGAAAATCTGAATATTGGTGTTTTAAATTTTATTAGTACTTCCCAAAGTTACAAACTAAACTGAAAAACTCACCAGATGTCAAAGGTGGATTTATATTATAAAAATCTTTTTTATGCTATTTAAAATCCACCACTAGTTAAAAATTTATCACAGCTAAAAAATTTCATTAACAAAAATAATTTTTAAAAAATTTACAAAACTGAAAATGACCTGAAATTATAACCTGAGTAAGAAAAAGTTAAAAAATTACTTGAATAATGATTAATACCCGGGTAAGATACACTCTTAATATCTTAATTATATTATCTATTATCAAAATATTTGGATTATCTTTATTATGATATTAATAAATCAATAAATAAATTAACATAATTAATAATAAATAAAATAACATAATTAACAATAACAACAATATTTAAATTAATCTTACGTTTCACTTCAATAGAAACGCTTAAAAAATCAGACCCTGTCATGTCATTAAAAGCTGTACAAGTAATACGTGAAGCTTCAGGTTGAACTGCTTTGAAAGTCAATTGTGTTATATTCTGCTGAAAAAAACCTGTAAAAATGTTTAAATCATTAGAAACAGCTAAACAACCATAACTAACAACATTAAATATTACCATAATAAAAAATAAAAAACTTGTTAGCATAAGTAAATTTTTTTAAGTAAAAATATTTTTATTTATGATAATAAAAAACTTTTTAAATATACTTTATTAAAAAAATAACTAAATAATTTTAAACCAAAATCATACCAACAATTATGCCATAAAACAAATATTAATATATAAAACTTACTACTTTGTGGTAAAGTATTTAAAATTAATCCAGTATAAGACAGAAGTTGACAATATAAATTAGGTGTAGGGTTACCAATCACTTGACATGATATCTGCAAATCTTGGTTGCTAAGCACAGCAGGTAAATTATTCAAACAATTTAAAAATGAAGGTCGATCTATAATTATATATAAGGTCGATTTATAATTATATATTTCTCAATGAAAATAATCAATGCAAAAAAATTAAGTCTTATGTAAAAAAAAAAAAAAAAAAAACTTTGGAAAATATCATTAATAATTAAAAACTTTAAGATATAGTTTAATGATTAATTTCAAAAATGCAAACCCTTGCCACATCATTAGTATCACAATAATGATAATACATTTAATCAAAATAGTTTTATGATTTTGATGTGGATGTTTATTGTTTCTATTCTACAAGCTTTCACCTGGAATACATTTGGAATACATCCAATTTTTTTTTCTTCTCTCTTCTTTTTTTTTTTTTGAGTAGTTAGGGATATCTTTAATATTTTTTTAAAATTATTATATAATGATTATCTAATGATTTAAATGTTAAAGATGTCCCTATAATCATAGATGACTTTATGAAAATCCCGGAAATTTTTTTCTTTGAAAATCCCGGAAAAATTTAGGGTCAATAAATTGACGAAGGTATGTGGGTAAATTCTGGAACGTTGGTAAAGGGATAAATAAAGAAACTAAAAACTACTCATTAATTATGTTTCTCTAAAATGAAATATAATATCTCAGTTTTAACATAAGCAACCTGCAAAGCGCAATAATTTCTTTATATTTAAAATATAAAATGTAAGACAATGGAATAAATGTCAGGAATCAATACTTTTTTTTCTTATAATTTTCTGTTGTGAAGCATTCATCAGCTTTTCTTTTTCTGCACTTTTTTGCATGATCAATAATAGATTCTTTAACTTTTTTGCACTGCTCATGTAAGGCAATTTTTTTTTTCCACGTTGAATTTATATTTAAAAATCTTTCTTCAACTTTTCTATTTTTCCGATGGAATTTCATTTTTTTATTATAGCGTTTGCTTGCAGTTTGCAAATGACCACAGATATTTTTGTTAACTGGGTCATGCAATATATCTCGCCTTTTGAAGTACCTTACTGCTGTGGTCTCGTTTGCTAATAATTGATACTTAACTGAAGCTATAGCAGAGTACGTTAAAGTATCAAGACGGTTTGTCTTTTTGTTAACTTTGGTGTTCATCAAGCTGAATGATTGCTCAACATGAGGACTACTAAAAATACTTAAGCATGCCTTGATAATCTTACTAAGCTCTAAATATTTTTTACACTTAAAAACTTCAGCCCACCAATAGTCAAGACGTACGGGCTTCCCATCATCAAATACGGGTGGAAGCGCTATATCTATCTATAACTTCTCGATTAAATATTTCTTTATTTATATCTACAGAGGGAAAGAAAGTTGAGAGTTTTTTTAGCATTCTCTCTGTAATTTCGTGACCTTGAGACATTGGGTCGATCGCAGAGAGGCATTTTAATAAAGGGTTGTTAAAGGGTAATTTATTAAGTAAGTAAACTGACAATTCAAGGTAAGCTTTTAGCAAGGTCTTTAAAAACGACGATTTGAAATCAGGATTTCGAATAAGTATTCTTGACAAATATTTTTCAGCATTACTTCCAAGGTATATGTAGTTCGAATGGCGATACATTTTTTTATCTTTCAGGTTTAAAAACTTCAACTTTTCTCCTGTTATATTTTTTATCATCTTTGGCTTAATAAAACAAGTTAAAATTGTTTTCACTAGTTCAATTTGCTCATCATAAATTCGATGGACTAACGGTTCTTTTTGTTCAAAAGTTAAAATGAATGATTTAAAAATAGGAAGAATTTCAACGTACAAATTAATATAAAGTAATGTTTCATTACGTCGGAAAAATAAACTTTTAACAATTCTAGCTTTTCTTTCTACACCTTGTTTTGTTAGTTTTTTCTGAAATAAATGAATAACAGCATTAAAAAGACTTTCGGCATTTACCGTAACAAGCGATAATGACGCGTAGTGCTTTAATACAACTTTATTAGTTTTGTCGCAAAAATATGCTACGAGTATACTGAGAACCTTCTCATTTTTTGCCGAGAAGCACTCATCTATGTTAAGGGAAAACATTTTTATTTTCATATCAAAAACAAGCTCAGCATGAAAAGCTTCACCTAATCCTTCTCGCAGCTTATACGAAGCAGTTGTTCTGAACATTTTCAAATTTTTTAAAACACGATGATCTTTAGACATTTCCTTTGCGTATTCAATCATATGGGATGTTAAAGATATTGGAAGATTGTGTTCACAAATAAATGCGAGTGTCATAGCTTCTGCATTTGATGTCCTGTCTCTAAAACTTACAATAGGTTTAATGGTAGGCTTTACTCTCTTTGTGCAAGTACTGCCAATATGCACGTTATCCGGAGTGCCATATGGCAATATACACATATCTGTTTTTTTTTAAATTAGTAAAAAATGACGATGGTATGGCTTCGTTGGACTTAATCATTGCGCCGTTTTGACGATGCATTTTAGACTTTGAGTGGCTGAGTAAAGATTTTTTACCTTCACTTCCATAATAAAAGTCTTTATAACATATTGTACATCTAACCTAAAACATCAAATCAAATAATATATAACTATGATGAAGTTATATATTTCAGTGTTCAGTTAGAGAATAAACTTACCGCTCCGGCTTTATTTATCTTTGTAATATAAGCTGAATAATGCTCATCATTATAGTCTTTCTCTTGAAGCCAATTCCAGCGAAACTTGTTTTTAATATTTTTGTCTATCTCAGAAATGTCAGATAAACTCTTAACTTGCATTTTCTTTTCTTTCTTCTTGATAGTAATTTTTAACGACAAGATATTTTGCAAACGTTTAAAACGGAATTTACATCAATTAACTTCTTAAGAAAAAGAATTTCTAATATTCGAAAAAGTTAATTTGAATGAATTAAAAAGAAAAAAAATTTTTGAAAAAATTGATCTCGTGAAAATTTCATTTATAGAAAACATAATTGCTTAAATGCAAACCATGTCGTATTTAAAATTTTATATAACTTTTTACAAATCAATAGCAAAAAGCATCCGGAATTTCACATCAAGTTTCCGGAATTTCCCGGAAACTTGATGTGAATTTCCGGAATTCCGGAAATTCCCGGAAAAAACTCATCTATGTATAATAAAAATATATAAAATCCATAAAAGTAAATATTTACATGAAAAACAGAAAACATTATTTTGATAAGTTGCGGCAATACTTTTAATTAGGTTAATTTTTTAATAAAATAAAATAAATTTCACTTAATTAAAAATGAATTAAAAATAATTATTAAAAATTGTTAACATTAATTTTAATTACTCTAAAAAAGTAGAAAAAAATTAAACTATACACTCAGAAAATGTTGCAAAAATTATTTAAATATTAACTTTTTTATTTAAAAATTTACTTTTTCCATATAAAACAGGATTTACTCAAAAATGCAACTTCTTCACTTTTCAAATTTTCTTAATTAAAATAAATTATATATACCCTCCCACTAAGAGAAAAAAAATTAAAACATTATTTTAAACAATACTTTATTTTAAACAGTATTTTTTCAAACATTTTTTGTAAAACCTTTATAAAACATTATATTATCATCAAAAAACCAATGGATTAAAATATTTGGCCCCAAAATACAATTATTTTATTAGTAATACTATGAAATCAAATAACTTCATAATTTTAGAAAACTTTTAATTGGATGCAAATGTTTGTTCAAACTTTTTAAAACCATAATTAAAACAAATATATGTTTTTCATTACAAACAAAAAAAAGCTATAAATAGAATAAAAAAACTATGTTTGTAATGCCTGCATTAACAGTCTGGTAAGATTAAATTGGTTCAATTGTTCTTTTTAAATTCTTTTTAAAATAAAATAAAATTGTCAGAGTATTCCTACTGGCAAAAGTACTAAAAATAAAATAGCATAAAATAAAAAGATTTTTAAATTAAAATTTTAATAAAATCTGAAAAATAAAAACCTAAAACTTGAATTAATGTAATTGGACTTGGAAAGAAATTTGGAGCATCAGGTTGAGTAGCAACTGCTAAACACCGAAATTGATTTTTATCACTCTTTAGCATACTGTTAATCTTAAAGCCAACAGTTCTGCTTTCATTGAAAGTAGCTGGTTCAACCCGGGAACCAAATTCCGTATTAGTGTTAATACTCATTGGTCCTGTGTCACCTAATCGAGATGCCAATATGGTAAGGTCAGGGCCATTAATAAAACCACAAGTAATACGCATTAAAAATTGTGAGTTGATTTCAACTGGAGTTAATTGGTATTGCCAAGAAAGTATTATTGAAGCTGTATTATTAACCCATGCAGTTTGCTTGTAAGGATGACTTAATGACCACACAAAGCAATCTAAAATAAAACAACCGAAATAAAAGAAATTAATTTATCTTTTAAATATCTAATTAAATATGATCACTATTAAATGTTGATACAATCAATATTTAAGATTTTAAAATCAATTTGCAAGAAAAATTTTTGTTAACTAAATCTTGCATTTTGGATGACATGCTAAAACATACAACTGAATTTAAAAATTGTTATCAATCATAAAAACAAAAATTATCAACAAAAATACTGCAACAAATTTGGGTGACAAAAATAAACATCTAAACTAGTATTTAAAACATTCACTGTGTGTTTTTTTAAACTACACATCTTTTTTGCATTGATATAACAAAATTGTTGCAAATTTAGGATGGGACTCGAAAACTAAAAACTATTCTGTGAGTGATTCTATATATATATATATATATATACATATATATATATATTATATATATATATATATATATATATATATATATATATATATATAGCGCTCAACTCGTTTCTCCGCGCAGCAGCCTTGTTCGTCAAGGTTCGTGTTTTGGAGTTATAGAGTTGAGAGAGGGTTATAACCACAAATAAGTAGCCTCCTCGCCTGTAGTGGCCTTCTCGGCCTTGAGGAGGTGAATTAAAATAAATATATATAGATATATATATATATATATATATATATATATATATATATATATATATATATATATATATATATATATATAATAAAAAAAAACATAAAAAAAACAACTTACGATTACAAAAGTAATAACACTCTAGTCATTAACTGCATTACAAAAGTAATAACACTATAATAGTGTTATTACATTTATAACGCACTTATAACTTTTAAAATTCATTCTTTGTTCAAGCAACATTAGTATTCCCAAATTTTAATTGAAGTAGAAAAATATCTAGAAGAATAAAGTGGATGTTCAAATAATCTTAAAACTAAAGTAACTTATAAAAACGTGACCAACAACTTTATGAAAATGTATCGTATTAAAAGTTTAGCATTATGAAAAACGTTACTAATGGGCCATAAAAACGCGTGTTAATTTTAAAATTAACCAATAAAAATTTTTTATTGGTTGATTTTAAAATTAATGCGCGTTTTTATGTAATGTTTTTCATAATGCTATACTTTTTATAAAGGGATGGTCCATAAAGTGTACACTCAGAGAGGAAGAGGAAGTCTGCAAATGGCGTTTTTGAGATAAGGGGGCAGTTGGTCAATTATAAAAGTATGGAGACACTAAATTAAAAATTGCAGGGAGGGGGTGGGGGGTGGCAAAAAAAAAGCGTACGTACTTTATAGACGACCCTAAAGTACTTTTTTATAACGTTGTTTAAGTGATGTGTGAAAGTTCCTGAAACTTTTAATAATATTTGAATATCCGCTTTATTTTTTCTAGATGCTTTTCTACTTTAATAAATGTAAGCAAATTAATAATGTTGTTTGAACAAAGAATGAACTTTAAAAGTAATAAGTGCTTTATAAATGTAATAACACTATTATAGTTTTATTACTTTTATAATGCAGTTAGTGACTAAAGTGTTATTTCTTTTGTAGTCGTAAGTTTATTGTTTTTGTTTTGTTTTTTGTAACTTTCTTGTTAACAAACTTTTAATAATTTGCTCCTTATAAACAAAGTACACAGCTTTGCATAAACTAAAATTTTAAAGGCCTAATATTTTACCAGAGTTTCCAAATCGCGATCGTATAATTTAACTCTTGATATAAACTTGTTACATTATAATTATACAAATATATTTTACAAACAGATGACGATACATATTTTCTCTTTTCTCTTTAAACGAAAAAAAACATAAAATACGGAAAAGTCATCCTTTTTAACTCCTAAAACCGTTTTTTTTTTTTTTTTTTTTTTGCTTTGACTTAATGAACTTTGTTGCCGATAATAATAACCACTAAGAAAAAAACAACAATAAAAACAACACACAAATTGTTTAAACTATTATTATTGTTTTTTATTTAAGTTTACTTTAATTTTTTATGTAGTTATTAAATTTAAATATTAAACTTGAAAAACGTTTTCGTGGTCGTACGAGACAAAAAACCTCACGCCTTTCCTGGGAAGGCTTGAGGGAAACACTTTCACTTCCAACAAGGCTGCAACAACCACTGTTAAAGTTAGAAGTTCCGAAAGAGAAAAGATAAAGTTTAAAAAGCAAGATAATAATTACATAGATTATCCTGACCATATTTTAAAAATCCGGAAATTTTTTTTTCTTGAATATCCGGAAAAAATCCGGAAAACTTTTTTGTAATATCCGGAAAAAATCCGGAAAACTTTTTTGTAATATCCGGAAAAAATTCGGAAAACTTTATAGTAATATCGGGAAAAAATTCGAAATTTACAAAGAGATGTTAACAAGGAGGGAAGATGTTAACAAGGGGGGCGTGCTCTCCTCGATTTTTTTATATTTCTATAATATTACGTCAGTTTAACCGTATCTATGAATAAAAAACTACATATTTTTTCATCAAAAAAAAAATAAATAGTAATAATAAAATTTTAACAATAATAATAATAAGAAAAAGAAGTCAAAGAAAAAGTAGAAAACTATATTTAAAAGCTGTTAAACAATGCGTAAACTTTTTTAGACATGCACTTATACATTTAAATACATAATGGATAATAAAATTTCGCTTAAATTCACCAAAGATATACAAATAGATAAACGTTTAACGCGTTGTTACAGATCAGAGGCGCCACCATAACTGAAATCCCATGGGCGTTATTTATTTTAGCGTTTCGGTTTTTTTTTTGTAGTAATTTTACAAAATAAACCGACATTTATCCGACACTTTTGCTAGCCAACTTATTTCAGTAAACATTTTATTACCTGTTAACCACCAACTTTTGGAAAATATCAATGAATTTTATTTTAACTATATTCGGAGCATACTTCAATCGCAAGGAAATAATAATAATAAAACACCAGACTTATATACAAATAATAAGAAATCTTTAGTAATAAATATGTTTAAAAAAAGGAAATAAATTAATAAAAAGTAAAAAGATATTGAATTGTTTTTCTGTAATCAGTTAATTTTCTACAATCAATTCTTCCACTCAGTGCTTAAAATGTTTTAAACTTAATTTACAATATAACGACTTCTTCTTTTATAAAAAAATCTACACGTTTCAAAGTTATATATAAAAAAAAAAAAAAAAATCCCTCTAAAAAACCCACTAAAAAAGTTTAATCGTTTGTTAGATAAAGTTTAAATAAAAATTTCAAATTTATTTTAACTAAGACAAACAAAAGGTGAGGTATTGTTAATGATTCACGTGCTTATTCATGTGATTTAAAATTTAAAAGATTTAAAAAAGTGATTTTTTTTTAATTGAAAGAAAATATAATTAATTTTGACAAGCGCTTTTTGAATTGAAAAGAAAACGTGCCTAAAAATGCGATTTATTTAAAAACCTAATAATAACACTTCATTGCAATTTGATTCAGTTGACGTTTAGTCAAAGTACATATGTTTAGATTACTTTAAAATAATAAAATCCTTATAGTTTATAATAAAGTTTTATTATATAACTCTTATTTGTATATAATAACTTATTACTAACAAAATAATTAATCTTAGTCAGTAGTTTAAGTTTTTGTATAAGATTTAATCACCCTTTACGAAAACAAGTTGTACCGAACAACCATAATAATACACCACGGTATTACAGTAACTGTAAGATTAATAGAACTTTCTACAAGTTGAAGGTCATACCAAATATCTCATTCGTAGATCGAACTATACATTGTTTCGCTACTCTCTAGAAATAGATTTTACTAATATTTAAAGGGTTTAAATTTAACGATATTTCTCCTATATGATGGAAATTAAAAACTGATTTTTCTCTCACAACCAAGGTTTAAAAAAACGCAGTGGTGAGGCGGTGAGGCATACCTTTTTTAAAAATTTTTAAAACTTGATAATAGTCAAGATTTAAAAAAGCGTACGCCTCACCGCTGCGTTTTTTTAAATCTTGCTCACAGGTTTTGTCACAAAACTTTTATTTACGAGTACCGTTTATTCTTATACATATAGTTTATATTATATAAACTATATGTTTAAATTATATATATTAATTATATATATAATTTAAATTTTTCTTATACAGTTACAGTAAATGTAAATTAATTACAATACTTTATAAAGTTTTTGTGTGAATATTAAAGACAGTCGTCATTTAAAAAATAATAAAATAAAAGTATTCCCAATGTCACAGCTGCTACCTGCAGCGGTGTACCTGTTAAACAACGCATTAAACGTCCATTCATTCATATGTCCTTAAATTCACTTAAAAAACATTTTAATTATTTATCTTTTAATTATCATCTCCAGTGTTAGAAAAAAGTCAGTGGTACTTGTTTATAAATAGTAGTACTCAGTTGTGTACCACTCATATTATTTAAAAATATCAAAATTTTTTTCAAAATGGCTACTTTTAAAGAATTACAAAGAAGTGAATGCACAAGTTTACAAGAATTGGAAGTTGGAATAAAGAATACTTTTTGCTGGTCTTGGTTAGAAGAAAAAGACAAAAATGGAACTTTCTTATCTGATTATATACGCAAGATAAATATTCCTGGAAAAGTTCTTTGCAGCATTTGTAACGTACTTTTGTCCTATAAAAATAGCGGTAAAAAAGACTTAAAAAACCACTCTAAAAATAAACCGCACAAAGAAAAAATAAATATTGCACAAACCAACACTACTCTCTCGTCGATATTTACAAAAAACAAAGTTGTAAGTACTTGTACTTTACCATACGGCACTGCTCTAAATGTTCACGATGAGCAAGCATGTGCAAGTAAAATAGAAAGTTCTGTAAAAAAATCTGTAGGAGTAGAAGATCGGATAGCACATGCTGAAGCAATGGTTCTTTCTTTTGTTGCTGAACATTCACTACCATTTAGTCTCACACCTGCAATAATAAGATTATCGCAAGTGCTTGCCAAAGACAATAAAGTTTTAACCTCGTTGAGTATGGCTGGAT